GGATGCTCTTTATATAGCACCATGAATTACTTATGCATTTTAATGCCAGTATAAAATTATACATGGTAGGAATGATTTACCAGCATAAAATATAACTTTATTATGACTTTCACATCTCAATAATAATGATACTACACATAAAATGTTTATTAAACACACATTTCATAGCAGGATAATAATGCAATTTGAACCATGCCTAGAAACGCATGCGTCAGAGTTGAATTGGTATGTGAGATGACCGCCCAAGTTTCATCTCCTCTTCCCCCAGTTTGCTTCTGTCTGGTCTTAGCTCTAATCTCTGACTTTTGGGTTCTCCCCACTTGAAACCTGGTTAATTTAACCCAACATAACATGAGCCTCACGTTATAAGGTGCTGACTTAGGACACTAGTACCTCTCTGCAAGTGCTGGCCAGCCCAGTCCCTAGGAGCAGATAAGGGCAAGTGGAAGCACTTTATAAACCTACCTGAAAGAGATGCAAGGAGTCAAGAACACCGTGGGAAAGAACAGTACCACTTCTGCTGGAGGCTAGCACGCACAGGTACTCAATGAATGACTGGGCTGAAGTACTGACTGCTTGGTAAAGATCTCCACAGACGTGAGCTTGGGAATGGAACGGGCGGTCAGATGAACAGGCTCTAAAGCAAAGGATGTGCCTCGATGGAGGTCATGTAAGAGGAGAAATGGGCAGGAAGGCTATTAACAAAGAGAAGCTCTAGCTGTAGGTCTGCCCACCTGAGCCTCGAAGGGCATTTAGCCAGTTTGATTAACTTATTTATATCTTCTTCCGCAACTATCTGAGAAGCTAACCAAAAGTAATGTGGAGAGCATATTTTTCTTTTCTGAATCAAGTATGAAAGAAAATGGCCTCGGGTAGGCAAACTTTTGTACACCAAATTTTCTCTTGGCAGGGAGCATTTTGCCCATTAATTTTTAGCTTATTTTATCCATTTAATAAATGTAACACTAAACACAAGGAACCACTTTCAAATAAAGCCAATCATTCACATCTATTTTCTCACAGTTACTGAACAATCCACGATCAACAGTCTCTCAGTTACTATTTATTTGCTTCTAGTTGACTGGTTAGCTTGTCTGCTCTACCTTTGAAGAATCAAAATAAAGTAGTAACACTTAAACATTAAGAAATAACAGATTTTAAATTTAAATTTTGCCAAGAACCAGGAAAATATTACCTAATACATTCTATTAAGTGTGAACTTATGAAGACAGACTATTTTTCCTCTTTTCTTGGAGTATCTCTAACCACCTGGAAAAATGACTGGCAGAAAGTAGACAATGATTTGTTGAATGAATGGTGGCTCAAAACACAAGCCCACAAGTTATTGCTGTTATTTAAGTTCTGGAATAAATCAATGTCCAGATTTGCCCAAATAGGAAACATAATATTCATTTTAGGCCTCCATATATGCCACTAAGTCATGAAGTACTGCTTCAGATCATAGGAACCTTGATTAGACAAAAGTATCAAAATGTAAAGTTATTGTTTCTTGACATATCCTCCATCTTAAGCCTATTAACTTCTGAGTAACCCTTTCCCAAAGAATTCTGGTTTCTTTGATATATACCAAGTCAAAGCAGTTTTGGTAATTTCAAACAGTAAATTTCCTTTTCAATGTTAAACGTTTTGAGTTTTGAAAAGAGGAGACTGAAGGGGTAAGATCCAAGTTCAAGGGTGCTGAGGGAGAGGTGCATTGTAATAGAAAAATAAAAACTTACTTGGCATTTCCATCACCAACACATTTCATTTTCTTAGAAAAATTCTTCCTCAGCCTCCGTAATTGTTCTGTGTTGAGAAAAATCGACCAAGGTGACACCTTTGGGGTCCCAAAATACAGCTGTCGTAACCTGCTGAACTGACTTGTGTGCCTTGAATTACGGGGCCAGCAGATCCCTTAGAAAGCCAGCTTCCATGTGACCGTACTCTGGATCACATTGATAAACTCAAGACTTGTCCCAGTGACGAGTCATTCCATAAAGGTGTCACTAGCTTTGATCTTGCTTTAAAAACTAAAAGAAACAACAGTTGAGTTAGCTAATCTTCAAACAATGCTTTTGGCACCCACCAAGCCAAAAGCTTGCCGAGGCGAAGATGCTAATTGAAAACGTTAAATGCCCAACCATGTGCGATCCCAACTTTGGTAGCTATGGCACCAATGGTCATTCTATTGTCTCCCACCAGCTTCTCACTTGCATCACTTTCTTCATTCATTGAAGTTGATGGTCTTTTCTCTCCTGGCTCATCTTTGTCTTCCTAACAAAAGGCTCAATCCAAGGTATAAAATATGTTGTCTTATATGGGGAAAGCATTCTGATAAACTTCTGTAAAGCTTCAATAATTGGAGGTTATATCATTTGAATTTAAAAAAAACTTTATTAGCCCTCACCTAAAAATCATTTTCTTTCCCCCATGCCACGAAGTATTCTTTTATAAGTCACCTTAATGAGAATATGGACTCCAGGGCAGTGAGTTTCTTCTGGTGATAAGTGTATTACTGAGAGAATTTGTCTGTGGCCATCCACTGATCACAGAAACACACTTATGCACGACTTGTGGGACTAAGCCTGTTCATACAGGAACTGGGTCTCTAGCAGCAATACTTCTTGACTTACCTTTATCTATACATCTAGGCATGCATAGTTTCTTGGCAGCTTTTCTTCAGCAACTATGGAAATAGTTTTATACCATTTTGACGTTTGCATTTCAAATATTTTTTATTTGATATGTCTCAAATATTAGACAAAGCACAAATACTTATCTATAAAATACCTTTCAGTAAAATATAGGAACAAAAATCTCTATAGATTTTTCAATTGAGTAAGAATTTTAAATAATGCTATGATTATGCAAAGGGATATGGTTACTAGTCAGGTGAGGAGGAGAAACACAGCTACAATTCAAGCATACACAGCATTTTTAATGTTATAAGCTGAAAACTTTGTCATCATAAATTTTTGGTTGACATAACTACACAACATACTTCAGGTTTGAGAGTGTAACTATACTTCACTAAGCAGAGTAATATGATTTGCAAGAAAATGCTTTTTCTTCCTAAACAGATTTGACAACATAAGCATTGTCAATTCAAAACCTTATTTTATGGGAAACTAGTTTTTCTGAACAATGTATTACATTAAAATGTTTTTTAGGTATGAAAATGAAGCTTTATTCTGAAATCTTCCTAATTGGAACATTTCTCCTTCCTGGAGAAATTATCCTAATATTTACAAAACTATTACTTTGAACAGAAATTAAAGTTTGTTTCTTTTTAAAAACCATTTCCATGTGAGATGACCCTTATATATCCAAATATAATAATTTCATTGCCAACTGCTACTAAGAACACGGCCTAAGCCAATACTCAGTCATTCTTTTAAAAACATTAAAATCCATTAAAAATCCTGGAACACAATTACAAGGTGGTTGTGTGCATTTACACCTTCAGCAATAAACATGTTATTCAGACTCATTGAGGAATAAAGCACTGCATATTTTATAGCGAGACCCGCAGCCTCTGTATGCCTCCAATTACATCTGAACATTTAAAATACAAATAATTAGACTAAATATACTTTATACTTTTCCTGGAATCATCCTGAAGCCAGAAAACATCATTAAATACTACACCATATAAATTTTAGAGTTGCTTCTCAGTGCAATTATTTCCTAAATTACTACACCAACACTTTTTTGTCAACAATCTGTGATAGAGTAAAAAGCCTGGCTTTTGTAGCCATGTGTCTCGTTAGTGGTTGAAGCTCCTAGAAGTCCAAGGACCAGACAGACTGGTACTATCACTGAAAAATTCACAAAACACAACTAAGTTTTGTAGTTGCATTACCACTTTACATATACCTTTTTGATGCTTCCAGATGTTCAGGTGACAGAAACATACAACTCCATTTTTAACATAAATTTTCTGAATATTGTGCTCTAATCTTAATTGGCATAGTTGTATAAACTTAACTTTTTTGAATCAGAGTAATCATTATTATAATAAGTGGCAACACTCCTATAACCAGACCCTTAGGACTTGGCTGTACAAAACTACAAACTTAGGCTACAAACTGTAGTTAAATTCCAGGTTATGAATGTTTGATGTTTGACAACGCATACTTTGCCTTTAATATTATGTAAATTTACCCTAATTTAGAAATAACCAAATCAACCTCTATTTGGGGCAATATTTTCATCACAATCGCCATCATTTGTGGTACGTGCTAATTTTAAAACTTGAAAAGGCTGCGTTTTCTTGCACTAAGGGTTAACATGAACCATATTTATTTGTTCTTATTCACAAATTTGACTTACAGACCACTAAGGAACAGGTCTTGTTTATGGCCTTTTGTCAGTGGATCAGTATATTTTCCTTGTAGACTACTATATATTTGCTGTCTCCCCCCACTAACATTCTTGTGTGCGCTCACATATGCACATGCTTTGCTGTATCTAATCTTGTTATGTGGTAAAGGCTGGGAAATCTGATAAGCAAAGTTGTTACAGTAATGTATCCATTATGTCAGCAAGGTTCTGCAAGAGAACTGCAGGGCTCTCCCAGGAGAACAAGGCAACAGCTTTTGCTTTATAGACTTTGTGGCATCTATGAGGCCTATATTGCTTCTTAGGGTCTGTGAGATTAAACAATATTTAAATCATGCTTTCATTTCCAGATCTTCCTACAATTTCCTAACATTTATTACTTAAAAATATTTAAGCTGAAAAGTCTGTAAATCAAATTTTAATTTCCATAAATGTCGACAGCAATGGCTGCAAATTAACATTAAACTTGAATTGGTGTTCTTTGGCGGCATGTTCAGAAAAATGGTGACCAAATCTTTAGACCACAAAATTATGAAGAGGTGCCAATACATTTTCTACTGAGAAACATTTGCTTTCCAGTGTTCATCATGATAAGAAGGTTGATAGTTCAAACAATTTATTGCTGCTTCATATTGTACATAATTAAATGAAGAAACATGTTAAACTCAAGGGAATTTTTAATAGGTTACTTGCAATTGTTATTGCAGGCAACAACTTGTACATGATTTTATTTCCAAATCCACAAAAAACAAATGTTATACAAATCAGCACTGTAAAAATGTCAATTACAGCCCCAGAGGCTTTGCTGGCAGAATAATTGTCTAAATTCTAGAATATGGGAAACAGGTTTTTTTTTTTTTCCTGGAATCATCTTTTTAAAATTTTTTTACAAAAAAAATTTACAAGTGAAATGTTACTACAAAACTTTTTATAAGGAATTTTTGCAAAACATTTACATTTTACCATCAACTATTTCTGTTTTAAAATCATTATGTAGATTTAATACCCTATGCTGCACATCAATTTATGTGGGATGACAACTTAGTGACATGCATAAAAAAACACCACAAGGCATTAAAATGAAGACTTAAATACAAATATTGTTGCAATAAAACAGTTATAAAATTGAAAAATAGGACCTAAACATCATGCTTATCTAAGTTTGACAAATTAACTTTTTCTCCTAGATTACACACTTTTATTACTGCTCTCATGAGAGTGTGATAAATAATGACTTAACATCAAGTTCTAATGTAATCAGCAACACATACACAAACCTAACGAAAGAAAGTATACTATAAGAAAAAACTATTCTAACACTGGAGTTCTACCATGATAAATACATAGCTTTGCACTGATAATTACAATAAAGAAAAGTTTTATAATGGCGGCAAAGGGAATGAACAGTGAAATGCCATTAAAGACTCTACTGCACATCTGTGTCCTATTACTTCTAACAGCTAGATCCCACTGAGTCAAATAAAGGACACTGAAATTTACGATTCTTATAAGACAGGAAAGTGGACTCAGAATGGTATGCAGAACAGACTGTCAAAATATTTCTAATTCCAGTGGTGAAATGTGCACCTGCTAAACCAAATTAATAGTATATGCCATAAAGCTATCCAGATTCCACTTGATAAATTTATAATAGGCCTCATTGTTGATTAAAAGATAACTTTTATTTCTCATCAGCACACACAGGTATGCATTAAAAGTGGCTCCTGGGATAATGGTACAGAGTGTTCATACTTGGTTTTAACAACAACAAAAGGTCACTCTGAGGAAACATGATTAAAATATTAAGAAAGTTTCTTTACATAAAAAAATTTATAGCACTGATTGTGTAGCATAATGGCAGATAAAATATATATTTGACGTTTCAGCTATATGATAAAATTAAAATTAACACTATCAAATGCTCCTCTGTACCAAACAAAACAACGAATTGATTCTGATGTTTTATAGCCAGATACATCAGTTGTTAGAGTACATTAAATAAAATATACAAAACAATTTACAAAATCCAACTAAAATTTAAAGACTCTGTTACAAGTCTACAAAAGCTTTAAGAAACTTGAAATCTATAACCACAGTGTAAAATTTTTTTTCCCGTTAATCTCAAAGCTTTTTTATACAAACTGAGAGCACAAAAGGCCTTCAGTTATATATAACGCTACAAAGGGCTGGCCTAAAGTGTACATAGTGTAAACAGTGATCATTACAGTATTTCTCCTTCAACAAAAGTACACAAAACATCACAATTTTGGAAGAGAATTTGCATGAGTACTAGTTTTCCTGAAATAATGAAGAAAGCACAAGAAAATTGGACCTATAATCACAAAATTCCCAAACTGGTGATGTTACAAATTAATAAATCAAGTAGGTTAAAAATTTTAGCTTTCTAATGGTTAATTTCATGAATTGATTCTGTATAAATATTTTTTCTAAACATGAACTATTTTGCTAATAATGTTTCAGTAATTGGTAAGTGCCTAATTTTTTTTCACATTAAACTTTTGGCCATCTTTCCTAAGGCTCTCTCCTATAAGACCCTTGCATAAATAAGTAAATTAATTTTTTTCTTTAATCACTTATTTGACTGAAAATTATTCTGGCCTTTTAAAAATAATTTTTGCTTCATAATAGCAGATCTATTATAATGTTAGGTTTTTTATTAATGGAAAATTCTGTTACTCAGATAACAACATTATAGTACTCTTATAAATACCTATCAACCTTCTAACACAGGGCTATAAATAAAATGGAGTTGGCCAATTTTCAATAGAGAATAAAAAGAAAATTATAATGGAGTCAAAGGACAATTTTCTGTTGGCCTTAAAACAAGTGTGATAACTCTTTCTTTGGCTACAAAGTCTGTCAACATAACTCATATTTACAGAATATGAAACTACAGAAGGATGTATACTCTATTCAAATATTTCCAATATAAACATTTAAATTGAATTTTGTGGCTCAACCTATTTAGGAATATGGTCACTCCTAACTTTTAAAACTTTTCCTCTTACACTGTCTCGTGTAATTTTTTTCTGAAGCTATTATGAGTTCTGTTTTAACCATCTAAAATTTAATCTAAGACTTAGTTCTAAATTCCACTGTGTCTCCAAATGGAGAAAATAAATTGGGCTTCACTGATTGTCTGCATACACACTACTACAATGTAGTGGTAATAAAGATCTGAGGTGCATCTCAGATTACTTTTTTGGAACTTACCTAATTCAGCGGGTGAAGAATTCCTAACATTTAGAAAAGACGGCCAAAACAGTTTCCAATTGATTTTCCAAAAATCAGGCTAAAGAAATACAGCATTATCCCTATCATCAGTTAACTACCTGTTTTCCTGTGCTAGAGAAAAAGAAAAGAGGTAAATTGTTACTGAATGAATTTATAATAAAGAATACTTTCAATGAAAAAAGTCTAAGGTCTGTCTAGCCTGCAAACCACTGAGGTCTGTCTTTTTAAACATGTTAACACATGATATTGAGAGGGGAGGATTCTGTTTAAAGGTTCTATGATATAGTTCCACATAACTACAACTTATAGTTTGGAGGAAATACTTGTCCATCTGTTTCCAGTACATCAGTTGCTTTTTGTAATTTTTAAAATTCAACATTTCATGTGTTGACCCCAAACCTTGGAATACATAAAGAAGCCAAGAATGAAAACATGATTCCGTACTCTGTAATCCACTTGGCCAGCCCATTTCCAGATTTTCAAAGGTGTGTAAACGTAAGGGCAGCACTAGAGGTCTCTGTATAAATAACCTTTCAGAATTCTTCCATATTGGTTGAAACGTTAGGAGTTGCTGGATTTGAATCTTGAGAAATGGCTGCAACTGTGACAATTCTCGGGGAGCCCAGCACCTCTGTTACGGAGGAGTCCAGTTCTCCAGAGGTAACGATGGCAAGAGCTGTCCCACCACCTTTCTTATTCTGGTGCGTTTTGACATGCTTAGAGAGGTGATCACTCCGCATAAACCTTTTCGAACATTCCGGACACTCAAATCGCTTTTCACCTAAACAGAAAAACAGTAAACAAAAAGATAAATATTTAGTCTACATAAGATTCTAATTTTAAATAATATCTCTTCTGGTTAATACTTTATTATTTGCTGGTTGGAAATAAAAGATCTTGGTTAAAGTCCTGGTTCTGCTAGATGCGTAAAGTTAAGGGTAGAACAAGTAAAATGATCTGTCTGGGCCTCAGTTTCCTTTTCTGCAAAAAAGAAGTGTTTCTAAGAGAAGATCTCAAACATCTTTTCCAAGCATAAAACATGTAACGTTCAGGGTATATATATTCCCTTCCTTAAAACTAATTACATAGGTTTTAGTTTTAATCCCTAAAGGAGAAAAGTAGCTTATAACTATTTGAAATAAAATAATATAGTAATTTAACAGTGTATTGAGTTTCTTCTGAAGGTAAAAATGGGATGCAGGCACAAGCTATTATTTCAAATTTAATAGAGCTTGTGGTTTCATAGACTAAGACTGCTGGTACAGTACATCCTTAAGATGTAACAATTCTAGTGGAACTAACTACTTATATGCTTTGGAATAAAAACTAGCCCCTTGTGATGATAATGAAATCATTTAAAGAGCCAGTTCATCTTTGTGCACAATGGCTGAGGACCATGAAAACGTGGTTAAGCGTTATTATCTGACATTCACAATGAATCAGTCTTCAGTCCTTCCTTAATCTACTTTTTAAGGGGATAAAATAAATGCTTCTCCACTCTAATAACAGATTCTGGGCAGGGAAATTCAATATGGGTGATTTCTTTTTCTAGGTTCTGCTTTAGACTTAAAGAAACTCTATTGACTATAAAGTTTGTCCACATTAGAGAACTTTCCCTTCCATGTTTGTCTTTACTTTTTAAAAATTATATTTGCAGTATCTTGAGAACTTTCTTTCACATAAACTTAAGATATTTTAGACAAAATCCTTAAAGACATTAAAAATGAAGGCAGTTTTCAGTTTTAGTAATGTAACTTTGATTTTCTGGATGCTCAAACAAAAAATTTGTAATCATGCTTTCTCCATCTTTGATGTCCTTGAAGTCATTCCACAAATTATCAGGTCGTTGGTCATTAGTGTTCAATGTGCCAAGTATATCTCTGAGATGGTCTCTAAATTCAGGCGGGATAGACTCAAGGGTATATGTTGACTCCCATGTTTCCAGTTTGCCTGTAACATTGCACTGACTGATGATATTGGTTTCTCCACCGTCTCCACAGACATAGTCACTCTAATTCCTGTGTATTCCAGTCAGCAAGGTTCATGTGCACAGCTGCCACTTATAATGTCGAAAAAAGGTATTAGTAATGAGAAAGTCCTTGGTCTTGCACAAGTCTATCATGCGATCTCTAGAGTTGACTGTAACTCCAAGGCTAGTTTCCTACTGCTGATCATTATTCATTTTAAACTTGTATATTCCAATAACCAGTAATCATCAATGCTTCTTGACTGCAATGAATTGGCAAGAGATTGTAAAACCGCCTAAGCTTTCAAAGACACATTTTTACCTAATTTTTTTTCTAAATAGATTTCGTAATATCCATATTACCTTTTTTTAACATTGCCAATTCATATCTTCCAAGGAATTAGTATATTTTACTGTGATTTACAAATGAGCACTGAGTTCTTCATAGCCAGTAAAAAGGTTCCTGAGTCAATTCTAACTCTTAAGGCCACTTCAGAAGCATAATACTATGCCTTTTTTCATACGTGCCTATGGGTGAATTCAAGCCGTCTATTGACTAACAAACAAGCGTGTTAACCATTACACCACTCTGGAGTTATTCAGAGCATTTCTTTATTTTGCTCTTAATGTTTGTTTTTTTTTTGCTCTTTATGTTTTACAATCTGTACTGATATGTTGGTAAATTTTCTAGTCCACTTTGGTTAGAGCACATCAATTTTATCTTTTCACTGAACCAGTTTTTTCATTTATCGATCTGTTTTTTCTTATTTTGTTTTATCAATTTTATTGATTTCTACTTTATTTCCTTCCTTCTTCTTTGTTTTTGGTTTAATTTGCTTTTCATCTTCTAACTTCCTAAAGTAGATGCTTATTGACTTGTGATATTTTTCTTCTTTACTATTAACAACATTTAGCAATATAAATGCACTGTAAGAATTCCTTTACATGTATTCTACACATTTTGGTATATAAAATTTTTATCTTTATTTCTTTTCAGTTCAAAATATTTTCTAATTTCTCTTATAATTTCATTTTGACCCAAAGCATGAGACTGTTGGTACAACATGTAGATGTACACTGATTAAGTTCCAAATGTATAAAGATTTTTTAAAGTATTTTTGCGATTTATCTCTACTTTAATAATATATAATCTGAGAACAAACATGTAATATCTGTTCTTTTGAATGTGTTAAGGTGTGGTTCATGTGTTCCAGGATAGAATTCTGCTGCGATTGGCTGGAGTATACAATAAATGTCAATTCTAACGAGTTATTTAACACAACTGAGATCTTCGATATCTGTTCTGATTTCATGTCAATTACTAAGAGAAGAGTGATTAGGTCTCCAAGCATAATTATGAATTTGTCTACTTTGTTTTTCAGCTCTAGCAATTTTTGCTGTAAATATTTTAGAGCTGCTGTTATGTTATAGGAGCCCCATTTACATGATAGTTAAAACACCTGCTCCTAGCCAAAAAGGTTGGCACTTTGAACTCACTGCATACTTCATTGGAGAAAGATGTGGTAGTCCGCTTTTGTAAATATTTACAGCCTTAGAAAACCCACACCCCGGTTTAATTCTGTCCTACAGGATCGCTTTTTGAGTCAGATTCGACAACAACAATGAGATTTGGTTTGGTTTTACTGGTTACATTGATATATATAGGATTATTATGTTTTGTTGGTGAATTGATTTTCATCTTATAGATTACTCCCCTAACCCTGGCAATTTTCTTTAGCTTTCTGAAGTCTATAATTGTTATTTATATACCAACTATGATTAATAATGAATTTCCTTTGATTAGTCTTTGTATAATAATATTAAGCCCACCCCTTCCTTTTTACATATTTATTAGATATTTAAATCTTAATAGTACATAGTTGGGTCATTTTTATGATGCAATTTGAAAATATATTTTAAATAATTTTTATTTAAGGTAATTATGGATTTAAGACTTACATTTTACTGCTTGTGTACCAATTTCCATATCTTTTTCCTAATTTCTTATTTTGTATCCTTTTAATACTTTCTAGTATTCTATTTCAATTTATCCTCCCCACCCACCCAAATATTTTGTATTATTAACTTTAGTAGATGTTCTAGAGATTAGAATATACATATCTCACTTTTCACAATATAAGTAACAACACACTTCCATAATTTCACAGTAACAAAAAGAAACTTTTCAACTATATGTTTATTTACCTACCCTACATCACATTTCTTCTGCTCTTAATTCAAGGTTTTTCTTTGGAACCATGTCTAGTCAGCCTGAAAAAAAATTCTTTAGCATGTATTTATTCTCACAACAAATTCTTAGTTTTTCCTCCATGTTAGAATATCTTTATTTTGCTCTTGTTCCTGAAGGATATTTTCATTAAATATAAAACTTGGAACAAAAAAAACTGGAGTTGCTAGTTCTTTACTTTTAGCGTTGTGCTGTTAAGTTCTACTCTTTATGGTCTCCGTGACTTCTGAGTAAAAATTTGCTACTATTTGAAATGCTGTGAACCTATCTGTAACGTGCCATTTTATTTTTGCTCCTTTTCAAGATTTTTCTTTATTTACAATTAGCAGACTACCATTCTTCTGTCAGTGTTTCCTACTATGCTGTTTACATGGTGCTGTAATGTTAGAAGCTATGCCACTGGTATTACAAATACCAGCAGGACACCCATGGTAAACAGATTTCAGCAGAGCATCTAGATTAAGATCAGAGTAAAAAGAAGGGTTATCTAATGAAAGATTTGCCACTGAACATTTTATGAACAGCAGTAGAACACTGTCAGATAGAGTGCCAATAGATGAGCTCTTTAGATCAGAAGGCACTTAATACACAATTAGGGAAGAGTTGCCTCTTCAAAGTAGAGTCTACCTTGATGATAGGGATGGAATAAAGCTTTTGGTACCTTCATCCGGTAATGGAGCATGACTCAAGAATGAGAAAAAATTAACTGTAAGTATCCATTAACAATAAAAAAACAGAACATATGAAATAAGAATCTATGAATACTAGAAGTTAGTAATGAGATTGAATATGTGAAAATCTATCGCCTAGACATTAGTGAGCTGGAATGAACTAATATGGCCATTTCGAGTCCTATAATCCTATGATTTACTAAGCAGGGAATGACAAAAATCAAGCGGAATGGAGTCACATTTTTGGACAAAAAGAACATTTCAAGATCTATTGTTAAGTATGACACTGTAAGTCATAGGGTAAGCACCAACCACTAAAGCAAGTGAAGAAATAAAAGAATTCTACCAATTTCTTCAGTCTGAAATTGATAAAGCCATCAAGATGTTTTGATACTTATTGGTGACTGGAATACAAAAGTCAGAAACAAAGAGGAATGGACAGTAGCCGGTAAATATGGTCTTCGTGATATAAATGAAGCTAGGGATAAAATTATTGTTAAAAATTTGCAAGACCCAAAACTTTTTTATTGCAAATATATCTATTTTTCAACCACATAAACAGCCAACTATAAATGTGGACTTCCTCCAGATGTAATACACAGAAATCAAGTTGACTACATATTTGGAAAGAGATCATGAAGAAGCTCAATATCATCAGCCAGAAGCTAACTGTGGAATAGATTATCAAATGCTCACATGGACATTCACGTAAAAATTGAAGAAAAATTTTAATGATCTTGAGTATCTCCCACCCAATTTCTCTAACATCTTGAGAACTTATGTGACACATTGGACACTACTGACAGAAGATGTCGTGACCTGTGTATGACATCAAAAACACACATGAAGACACAGAGGTCCTTAAAAAGATAAGACATAAAAGATCAAAGTAGATG